ATTATTTCAGTAGGTTGAAGTAAAGGAAACAGTAACATTCTCTCCATCCTTTGATTCATCTCTGGCCTGGTGTTTTGTTTAATGTTCTCCTTAAACATTATACCTTTGAAATACAAGCTTTTAGAGCATCATGGTGCCTAAATAGAGGCAGATGAACCAGAGGAGAACTTCAAATCATTTCGCTCTAGGAGAGTTAGAATACACAGAAAACGAACCCTTTTAGGGGTGAGATATCACTTATATTTTCCTTGTACCCTCTGGGCTTTTCTTGAATCTTTGAAATCCCTTCTAACTGGAGTCTTCGTGAAGGTATTTCTGTATATTTATTCTCAAGTGGCATAAAAACATTTGAGAAGTCTTTACTAACTTAATTTCATGTCTTATAATTTTAGAAGCCTTGGAGGTTATTTGAATACAACATAATGCAAGATAGACAAAATGCTCATCTGGGGGATGAATAAAAAGAGAAAAATACCTTTCAGTCTTTTTAGTTTCCATAATGTCTTATTAGTTCTCTGGAAATTTAATTTTGAACCTGTATCATACTTTGGAGATTTGATTTGAAGTAAAACAGCCAATTTCAGTAAAATATCAAAAAGATGTTTTCCCGTTTTAAATTTCATTAGACTGAATATTGGTGTAAGACACACTTGGATCCATGTCTCAATCTACTATTCTGTAACATGGGAGTTGAAATATTAAGCAAATTGTTTTTCATGTAAGAAACTTGTCAGCAATTTGCTTTTAGCTTGTGAAAAAAAAATAATAGTCTCACATCCAAAACCAGGAAACAGACTATAGAATCATTTGAGTCTCAGGGCTGCGAATACTCCGATTATTAAATCCATGCATTCCTTTGGGCATAAATTAAATAGGCCACAGGGCAGCTGGAGGGTGACCACAGCTTGACAAACCTTATGGTTCAGCAGATGTGGTTATAAGATACCACTTCACTGAAAAATATTCAGCACTAAGCAATTTTAGGACTACACTCTGAGGTTTTGAATTAAAAACTTGGAATTTCCAATAGAAAAGGAGTGGGTTTCTATCATATTGGTCTCGGGATACAGAAATATTTAGTTGCCTCAAGTAAGCAATAATATGAACCAACAGAGTACTTCAAATTGCAGTATTTCTACAAATCTGTAAGTCATGAGCTGAGAAAGGTTTTCAGCACATGCAATGACCCTATTTCAGTTTCTTTTTGTTGACTTCCAGATACCCAGGGGCTTTCCGTGGTGTATACATTAGAAGGCTTCATATGGGTCATTTGCTTTAAAAGATCAGCTCAATATTTAAGTAAATTATTTGAACAGTGTATTCTCTGATTTGGAAAATAATGTATTCTCAAGTAAGTGTAGAATTATTGAAATGTTCCAAGATCTTAGAGGAAATATCACAGCCACAATCATTTCCTTGGCTGTGGAAATGAACACTATCATTCATAATATACACTGAGAAATTCCATAAAATCAGGAAACACACAGGAATCGAGTAAGTACCTAGACATGCAGGAGAAAGGGGGTGAAGGAACTTCAGAAACAATCTAATGTCAACCTCATGCTTCCAAGGTTTGGGTTAATAAAAACTGAGTCAGACCAGCAGTACTCCTTTGATCTAGATCAAAACTTCCCACTCTAATTCCCCGCCTATGAGAGGAAAGTGAATTTCCAGATTTCTTTGTAAAGAAAAAAAAATGGGAAAGATGCTGACATAACTTCTTCAATGGTTTTAGAGCTTGTGGTTAAATTTAAGAAACTCGTTGAGTTACAATCGAATATTTACATAAAACAGGAAGGAGGGGCTGATGAAACTAACATGTCCAAAAGTTACAAAGGAAAGCTCCAAGATGAGGCAGGATTGCCTATAATTTCCTCAAAGGGCACTGGTTCCCTTCCTGGGGGATAATTTCTAGTAAGTGAAATACTTAGTGCAGAGAACTTCTTGTTTTGTTCTACTTCCTCGCTTACCTTCCCATGGAATATTCAGAGTATCGCTTACTGGTTTTATTAGTCAGGACTCTGCTTTCCCAGTCACAATAACATTTATTTTAAAATATTCCTGTTTACTTGCAGTGTCTTTGAAGACGACCATATAAAACTTCATCACCCTAACTCACACAGATGAGTGAAGACCAAGAAGAAGAAAAGTCGTGTTCCCATTGCCTAAGAAGTTGGCGGCGTCTCATCACTAGACGGTAAGTTCCGTGGGGGCAGGGATATTAAGTATTTGCCCTTCGGGCATTCACATGTGGTTTGTGCATTATATACCAATTCAATAAATATTTCAGCCTGATTGATTACATCTGGGGTTATCAGCCCCTGTGCAATGTGTTTCCACTACTTATTACCAATTACACTTCACGACGACTTTTCTAGTCAGGCAATATTATCCCCATTTTATAAAGTCCCAAGATCACATAGGAAAGCAAAAAGAATTGGGATTAGATACTAAGCTTTCTTATTCCAAGTTTATTACTCCCACCCACATCAGCTGCCTAAAATGGTATTCAGTGGACAGAAGCAGTTGCAAAGTCTTTTCCCATGGCAGCAAATGAAGGATAATGTTTGTATCTTCCCATTTTTATCTGAATATCTGATATAGGAATTCTTCCTTAACCACAGAAAAGGAAGCATTTTGAGATCCATTATTTCTTTCAACTTTGAAGGAAGAGAAACATCATCAGTTAATTATTTGGAGAAAAAGCTTCCCAAACTCCATTCTAACATTTTCCTAATCACGTTCCTGGTTTGAACATCGGCACTGAATTTGGAACCTGAAGCCTATTTCCTGTCTAAAATGGTTTTCATTCATTGTATTTGAACACTTGTTTTTTCTGCAAAGTTGTTTACAAAGCTGAGTTGCTAGAATTCATTTCTTTTAATGAACAAAAGAGTGGTGGAATATTTAGCTGGAAGGAATTCACAGAGAGCTGCATGCAACTGGCAGAGTTTTAAGGAAAAGATTTCAGTTCTAATGGAGGCCCCTCAGTCCAAACTGGAGGAACATTCAGGTAAAATTCTTTTAATGAAAGAACTGAGTAAGAGAGACAAGGACATTGGTAACCTCTTCCAACTAAACAGAGTTGTTCTCTTTCAAAAGAGTCATTCATTTAGGAAATATTAATGAGCATAAAATCCTTGCTCCATGCCAGGCATCAGAATACAAAGTTCACTAAGACTGATCTGTACTTATAAAAGATAACCAATAATTTTATGTTTTTACAAAAAGTAGCAAATGACTGCTACTCTTAAAGGCAATTCATTGAAGTGACAGCAAATTATATTCAGAACTTCAACAGGTAGAACAATAAAATCGATACATAAGGCCAAGATTAGCTACACAGACAAGTCACCTTGAAGACCAAAACTTGATTAACAGTTGATCTATAGAATATATGCATCATAAAGTGTTCCTTTTTTAAAATTAGGGAGGCTTCAATCTTTTTACTGAAATTGAGATATAATTCACATCCCATAAAACTCACCATTTCAAAGTGAACAATTCACTAATTTTACTATATTCAGAGAGTTGTGCAATCACCATCACTATCTAATTCTGGACCATCTTCATCACCCCAATAAGGAACTCTGTACCCTTTAAGCAGCCACTTGCTATTCCCTCCTCCTCTCAGCCCTGGCAACCACTAATTTACTTTGTCTCCATGGATTTGCCTATTCTGGACATTTTAGGTAAATGGGATCATAATTTGCATTCTTTTGTGATTAACCCCTTTTACTGAGCATGATGTTTCTGAGATTCATCCACATTGTAGCATCAATCACTGCATTCCTCTTCATAGCTGAATAATATTCCATTGTATGGATAGACCACATTTTCTCCATCTATTCATCAGTTGATGGGCATTTGGGTTGTTTGCACCTTTTGGCTATTATGAATAATTCTGTGATGAAACATTCATGTACATCTTTTTGTGTGAATATGTTCCTTCGATATAATCAACTTAGAAACAAAGAAATTCAAGAGTCAGAAAGGTACCCAGCAGCGTGCCAACGACAGCAAATTGATCAGTAGTCTGTTCCTTTTGTTGTTAAATAGTATTCCACTGTAGGAAGATACCGCTGTGTATTCATTTAACAGGTGTAGGATGTTTGGGTTGTTTCAAGCTTTTGGTAACCATGAATAAAGCCACTATAAACATTCAAATACAGGTTTTTGTGTGAATATAACTTTTGATTTCTCTTGAGTAAGTACGTATGGGTGGGACTGGTGCATCATATAAGTCTATGTTTAACTTCATAGGGAACTGCTAAAATCTTTTCAAGGAAACCCAGCCATTTTGCATTTCTTTTGTTTTTTTTTTTTTTACATTTTGCATTTCTACCAGCAATGTATGAGTTCCTGTTACTCCATATCCTAGCCAGCATATGGTATTGCCAGTTTTTCTGTTTGTTTCTTTTGTTTTTAACCATTCTAATAAATGTATAGTGGTATCTCATTGGTAGTTTTGATGCTCCAAATTATCCTAGGTGGGTTTTTTAACATTGTTTTTTACTCAGCAAGTAACTTGTTCTGTTGTTACTGGTGTTTTTTCCCTAGCATTTTAAAAAACTTGTACACAGACAGAATAGTATAATAAGTCTGCATAAATGAATCACCCAAGATTCCATGATTATCAATATTTTGCCAATTTGTTTCATTAAGCACCACTACCATTTTTGGGGGGAGTTCTTCAAAGGAAATCTCATACTTTATTTCATTTCACTATTAAACATTTCAATAGGAAGTGCCTGAATAACTTTAAAAGTAAAACAAAATGTAAGCAAAGCAACAAAATTAACAATAATTCCTTAATGTCCTCTCATATTTAGTCCATGTTCAAATATCCCCAGTTGCCTCAGAATTATCTAAGAATTACGTTAAATTTAATTTCATTATGACATTAACTGGAAGCTACAAAATCTGAGGTCCTACTTTCTCCAAATGATTGAGGTTCCACTCAATTTTCAGGAAGAGTTTGAAGTTAGTCCAGACTTTACCCAAGTTATAGTTTAGCTATTCCAAATTATATTTTTATTATTGCAGCAGCAATTGGGGGTTGTAAGACAGATACTAAGAAAGAATACAGAATTGGTATAACATTTAACTCACAGATCAAACACTTAAGAGAAGACTGTTATGATTAAACAGTGCAGCCAATTGATTCTGTTGGCAGTGAACACATGGGTTGGCTTTACTAGTTCAGGGTAGGGTAGAAAGGACACATACAGAGGTGGGGACACAGGAAGGGGCTCTCTATTTGGCCACCAAGCAGGAGGACTTGCTTCTCTCACCTGGCATTGTTCCAAACAAGGTTTGTTCATAGTAGGCACCCAAAACAACTGAATTATTCAACATTCTATCAAGAGGGGTATGTGAGTATTTGGTATCAGGGGCTTCAGCCAAATGAAATTTTGGTTTTGTTTTGGAATAAAACCCAAATAAGAAATATTTCCATCATGTCAGTTTAAACTTGCACTTTATTTAGTAAACACACAAGACTTTATTGTGTGAGTTCCATTTCAGTTCACAGTTGAGTCACACAAAAATACAGAAATTAATATGTAGATTAGAAGATAAGCAAATTTGTGTGTTCTGTTCTAATTTGTTAATGAATATTTCTGTTTAAATTACTGGTGGTCAGAAGACTTCTCTTCAGTGAAACTGTACTGCTGTGTTTTCTGGCTCACTACAGCCCCGAGCTCTTTTTTAACGTTTGCACCAAAGTATTTGCTTGCTCTATTACCGTTTAGTCCAGATAACAAGGCTCAAGTAAATGTAGCCGGCACAAAAATAATATAATCATTGTTTAAAATCAAACTTCAGAGCGGGTCAACATGGCATAATCTCCTGTCTAAGTGATCTGTAATTCGCCTCTCCAGATAGTCATCTTGCCCCTGGAGCAGTTTAAAAGGTAGTAGCTGCCAAAAATTGTTAACCATTAAACAAAGGTTTGCTTTTCTTTTATGTGGCAGGAACAAAGGTGCACTTCTAAATCCGTGTCCGAAAAATGTATAGGTTTCCAAGAGCCCTACCCACTAACTCCTGCTTTTGGTGGCCAGAACAAACCTTTTAAAGTGTTCTGGGGGTTTTGGTTTGGTTTTGGGGTTTTGTTTTGCCTTGGTTGGGTGATCTGAGCCAAGGTATGTGAGTTTTATTTCTGAGGGCAACGCTGACATAAAGAAAACTTGGAAAACTCAAAAGAGTCCTAAAAGGAGGGTGCATTACACTGGAACATATTCCATCAATTGCCAGAATATTTAAGAACACTCACTGAGTCACCACCACGGGGAATGCCCTCCGCGTGAGGGCGAGAGGAGTTTTCATCATGGAGAGCGTACAAGTCTCCTAGTGAATATTTAGCACTTATTAGGAGTCCACATATTTGCCTTTCATGGTAGCTAAAAAGTAAGCAATAGCATTTTTGTTAACTTTTCAATTTCATAAAGGTAGCCGACTGCATTACTTCCAGCTTCACTGCATTGTCAAGGCAACTCTAGAGGACGTGGCGTTTAAAGCACTAGGAGACTCGAGACTCATACACACACAGCGTCTAGTGGATCCAATGAGTCACCATTAGAAGCTGAAGATCTAAGTTTCTTTTTTTAAAACAAAGATTTATTAGGCTTTGACCATGTTCTAGGCACTATTCTAGTTCTTTTTAGGGGGGCAAGGGGGTTAGGTTTATTTACTTATTTATTTAAGAGGAGGTGCTGGGGATTGAACCCAGGACCTCATGCATGCTAAGCACACGCTCTACCACTTCAGCTATACCCTCCTCTCTAGTTTCTAAGTTTCTGCTCAAGGCAGGTTTCCCCCAGGGCATTGTGCCTTGTCACAATTACATTTGGTTTCTGCCAAAGTTCTCTTTCTGGAACTTAGATTGTCTTTTTAGACTTTCACCAGTGGAAGGACAATGCCAGGTTTTTCATTAGTATAATGGACCCATTCACCAAAGCTAATGGAATATGCTGTTACTCATCAAATTCCTTAGAGTAAACATGTTCTCAAAGTCATTGCTTACTTCTACCTATTAGAACTGTCGGTGTTCTCTTAGATGCCAGATGAAAGAGACAAAGGCAGTAACGTTTTATAACCAGGGTTTTTCAACCTCCTTGGCACTATGAACATGCAGAGCCAGATCATTCTTTGCTGCAGGGCTGCCCTGTGCACTGCGGGCTGGTGAGCAGCATCTCTGGTCTCCACCCACCAGATGCCAGTAGCCCTCACCCCACCCCAGTTGTGACAACCACAGACATCTCCAGAAACTGCAAAATGTCCCTTGGGAAACGAAATAACCCCCTGCTGAGAACCAGTTTTATAACCAGCAAGACAAGTATCTATCTTCTGTCTTGATTATTTCTTCACTGATACATTCCACAGTCAACTACTATATAGAGTGGTGCTGGACACATAGTGGACCTAGATGTGATCTTCGCATGATGCTTATCTTCACAGAGCTTATAGATTGGTCTAGGAAGTCCAAAGTCCAACCTTGTTCCTAACACCTCCCTAGTAAGAGCCCTGAAGCATAGTCAGTATAGGCTAGGACCCATTCTGTGAACTCACATCTAGCCTTGGCTCATGACCTCCCTATTTGCCTACAAGTTCCCAAAACAGAGTACCCATGTGGCCTCAGCGGCCACTCCAAAGGATGTTCCCACTCTCTTTTAAGCTCTCTCAGGGTGCTGAGTTTGTACCATTCATTACATTTAGTTTATAGATGCTATGTACAACTCATCATTTTCTTATAGCATCTCCCTTAGATGCCTGGATGGTTGCCTGGATAGATGGTTGGGTCAATTATTGTCAAGCACCTTGGCAGCCAATCTAAAGAGTTTGGAGACAATTTTTTTTTTGAATATGAGAATGACATGACCAAAACAATTACTTAGAAATATCATCATGTGACATTGTGCTGGAAAGACTGGAGAAGGGAAAACCTGAAGCCATGGAGATAGTAACAAAATTATTTTATAGTCTCCCTTTGGATCAGTAAAGTATATTAGCAGAATGAGGGCAACGTGAATGAGAAAGAAAGGGACAAAAAGGAGAACTATTTCAAATAAAAAATAAATAAGATTTTGAAAGATGAAGTGATCATTACAAAGGAAATGGAAACCAAAGGATGCTGAAGTTCAGAGTACGGGGATCTAAAAAGAGTTCCTCCATTAAATACAGATAGAAGAACAGAGATGAGCCAAAGATGTTCTGACAAATAGAGGTCATCATTCTTCATGCAGCTTTCCTACTTTGAAAGAAATATAAATTTCCTACTCTTAAATTCGGCAGTAATATAAGAGCAACCAAATTAAGGAGTCAGGTTAATTCATTCTCTGAATAGTATCACATGGAAAGCAACATGAGATAAGCAACACAATATGGATACAAGAGGACTTACAGGATCCCTCCACCGCTGTGAAGAGAACAGACAGACTAAGGTGGGTCTGCGGTGGAAGCAGGGATATCATTTAGGAATTTTTTACATTAGACCCCGGTGTAATGAGAAGTGGTCAGATTACAGATATGTTGTGAAGATAGAGCCAAAAGAATTTGTAGATGAATTCAGTGTAAGAAGTAACTAAAAAAAAATACACCCATAAGTTTTATGGCATGAATTACTGAATTTAGGGAAGTAGCCAGTTTGTGGGGATCAAAAATTCATTTTTTGACATGTTAACTTTAAGGAACTTATTAGATATGCAAAGATGTCAAGTAGCCATGTGGAGATATGAATCTAAAGTTAGGCATTTGGCTGCAAATAAAAACATGGGAGCGGTTATTGCACAGCATTCTTAATTGCAGACAACAGGATCCACTCTTGCCAGTTTAAATAGAAAAGGTATGTTCCAAGAATTTGGGGGTGAGATACAACAACATCTGGATGTTACGTTGCCAGAAATAATGCAGCCACGGCAAATGTCCAACCACACCAGAGGAAAGTTCTAATGGAAACACCATTGTTGTTACTACCCACTGTGACGTTAGAGACTCGACATTGGGAATCTATCTGACTTGCTTCAGACAAAGCAGATGTCTCAGCAATCATGAAAGGTGACCCTATCTTTCCTAGTCATGACTGCACCCAAATCTTGCACCTGTGCATTTGAGTTACAGAAATTTGGTCACATGTCTCCACTCTTGCTACAAGAAAAACATACAATTTTAGCTTTACACGCTCTCTAGTATTGGAAGGCAAGCTAGAGGGGTTTGGAGTGAGTATTGACTAAGTCAACTTGCTATATCTGATTCTGGGAGCCATTGGCATAGAGATGGTACTTAAGTTTTGGCATTGGGGGAGACCACCTGGGGAGAGAAGAGGGACAGTCCCTGGGATGGGTCCTTCAGCACCTCAATACTTAGGTGTCCAGGAAGTAGATTGAGAAGGATCAGGTAGTGAGGAGAAGAAAAACCAGGAAAGTGTGATGTCCTAGAAGCTCAATTGAATTGAATGGTGTTTTGAGAACAATTAAGGACAAAGAACTGACTACTGGATTTGAAAACACGGAGATCATTCCTGATTTTAACAAGAGGAATTTAAATGGAGTGATCAGAATGGATGCAGAACAGCTTTGGAGAGGGTGACGTGGAGACAATGTGTATACAGGGGCAAAGATACACTGCTAGGAGTTGGAGAGGGGAGATGGGACCTTTCAAATAGGTCTTCTTTCCAAAGGGAGAGATTTAAAAATTAAAAATGAAAAGAAAAGGCACAACACAGCCACATTTTAAAACCAATCAACCCAGTTGTATATTTTAAATTGTCTATTCCACAGAAATTGGTTTGTTTCCTGATCTTTGCGAGTACTATACTTTAAAACATTTTTCCTAACCAGGTGCAATAGCCCCATGGGGGATTCCAAGGGATTTCTGTTTATCAGCTCATTGTGCTCTGAATCTTGAAACAAAGACAATCATCCTTTCACACCTGGAGAATAAAGTTTCTGACTTTGTTCACATTTCTCCTAAAGCATCCTTCATTTCAGCTTTCTCACCTTTAACAAGCAAGTTCATCAGAAAACACTACCCTTGAAGTAATTGAGAAGAAGAGGTGTTTACCTTAGAAAGTACTAGAATATGAAGCTCTTGCTATAATAACATATATCTCTTCATCTGCTGAAGCTCAGCTACTATGAAAACGTAACAAGCAACTGCTTCCATTCAACACTCCCAGCCCTCCCTAAAAGGAACATGTCTGAAGGATTGAGTGATTCAATCAATGTTAATACATTTTAATTTCCCAATATGCTCTTGACAATTCAGGCGCCACAATTCCTCCATTCGTGTCTCCCACTGGGCACCCCTATCTTTTCCCAAATTGTTTTTAGCTAGCATTGCCTTACCTGTGGAAATTAGGTTTGCTGTTAGGACAAATCAGAGAAGATTTTAAGGATGACATTAATTTAATAATTTTAGGAGTATTCTTTGATGCCTTTAATTTAAATATTGGAAGGAGCAGAACAGTCATTTAATTTTTTTCTTTTTTGAAAATAATGGCAAACTTTATTGGCATAAGTCACAGGAATTGAAATGGGGGGAAAGCCAAAGGAAAAAAAATAGAAAAAAAGTCAAATCATCAAATAACCACTGACCCAGAGGGTGGACCTCTGAAACCCCACGCCCTCTAGGAGTGGGGCCCGGGGCGGGTCACTGTAAACAGAGTGGTAAGGCCTATGGGTAGAAGTGGAAACATGAGACCTGGTGGGGGGGGCCTGGCTGACCTTCCCAGACCCAGGCTGCTCCCCAGCCCTGCCACCAAGGAGGGACCCCCTTCAGAGACCACAGCACACTCAGCCTCTGCTGTATCTGGAACCTGAGCCCTGCCTGTTTCATCCTTGGGGCTGATTTTTTTTCACTGTCTGTTATTAACAGAAATCTTTTACTGTCTCTCAGAATTTGTCACTTAGTTAACTTTATAACTCCATTTTTTTTCCAAAATAGTTCTCTTTTGCCCATTATCCCTAGACTTTGGCAGTTGCTGTTCCATACTCTGGTCCTATAGTTATGTCTTTTCCAGAATTCCATATAAATTGAATCATATAATATGTAGCCGTTGAGACTTTTTCTTTCACTCAGTACAGTGCTTTTGCAATTCATCTGTAGTGTGGTATCATTAGTTTGTTCCTTTTTATTGCTGAGCAGTATTCTATTTTACAGATGTATCACCACTTCTTTATCCATTCATCAATTGATATTGAGTGTTTCCAGTTATAGGAGATTATGAATAAAAATCTAAACACTTTCATGTTCAATTTTTTGTGTGGACAAATGAAGAGAAACATCTTCATTTCTACTGGGTAAGTATGGAGTGGGGCTGCTGACTATAAAATAAGTGTATGGTTAACATTTACCCATACTGGCGGTGGTAACCCTTTTATATTCTAACCAGCAATTTATCTCATATCCTGAAAACTTGCTAAACCCACATATTAGTTCTAATACGTTTTTTGTAAATTCTTAGGGATTTTCTATAGTCAATCATGCTGCTGAAAAAGGACATTTTTATTTATTTCTTTCTAATTATGCCCCTTTTTAAACAAATTTCCTCATTCCTTCAATGTTGGAATTGATGCTGACTATAAGTAGTGAGAATAAACATCCTTGCCTTATTCCTAATATTGGGGAAAGAATATTCAGTCTTTAGAGTAAAGTATGATGCTAATTATGGTAGTTTTTGTTAATGCCCTTTAGCAGAATGAGAACATTCTTTTTCTGATGATAAATAGATGCTGAATTTTGCTGAATGATTTTTCTGCACCTATCCAGATAATCATGATGAATTTCAGTCATGTTTGAAGGTTGAACTAACCTTGCATTTCTAGGATAAGACCTACTTGGTCATAACTTATTTTTATTCATGCATTTTATTTGCTAATATTTTATTACGAATTTTTATGCTTACGCTCATGAGGGATATTGGTCTGTTATTTTCTCTCCTTTAAATGTCTTCATCTGGTCTTGGTTTCAGGGTAATGCTGGCCTCATAATTTGGATAGGAACATGTCTCATCTTTCCCTATTTCCAGGATGAGTCTATATAAAATTGTGTCACTATTCCCTCAATATTTGTAAAATTTGCCAGTGAAGTCATCAGAGCCCAGAGTTTTCTTTGTTGGAAGGTGTTCAACTACAAATTTAATTTCATTATTTGGTATAGTATTATTCATGTTACCCATTTCTTCATGGGTGAGCTTAAGTGGTAGGTTTATGACTTTTGAGCAGTATTTTTCCTTGCATTTAAGTTATCAAATTTATTTCTATGAAGTTATTCATAATAGTCCCATATTTCCCTTTTGACATCCTAAGGATTTTTAGTGACATCTCTTTCATCCCTGATATTGTTAATTTGTGAGTTCTTTTTTCTTTAGTAGTTTGGATAGATTTTTTCATCAATTTTATTGACTTTTTCCCCCAAAGAAACAGATTTTGTTTTCACTGATTTTCTCTTTTATCTCTTTCCAATTTCATTGATTTCTGGTCTTATCTTTATTATTTGCCCTTTTATTAATTGTTTTCAGTTAAATATACTCTTTCTGCCCTAATTTATTCAGGGAGAAGTTAAGGAAATGGTTTGAGACTTTTCTTTTTAAACATTTAATGCTATAAAATTTCCTCTTAGTGCTGCTTTAGATGCATTTCATATATATGTTGTCTATTTATTTTAATTATTTAAAATATTTTCTAATTTCCTTGTGATCTTCTCTGTAACATATAGGTTGTCTAGAAGTGTGTTATTTCATTTCCAAACAGTTGGGAGATTTTCCGGACAGCTTCTCATTATTAATTTCTAGTCTAATTATTTTTGATTAGAGACATACTTTTCACATTTTAAACTGTTTTAAATTTGCTGATGCTTATTTTATGTTCCAGAATATGGTAAATTCATATTCTGTGCTTATCATATTTAGTTAAACATGTTACACTACAGAAATATTCACATGATCGATTTCTTGGGGGCTTCCCCCTCCTCCACTGTTGGTACTACATAATACACAGTACATGCACAATATATTCTTCCTAAAACTTGAAAAACTGTGAATTCCAAAACACATTTGGCTTCAAAGATTTAGAATAAAAAATTGTGGACTGGTTTCTTGGTTATATTATCATCCATGTGATCCAAATATATTTATATTGTTTTTAGGTTATCATCAACATGAAAACACATAAATAAAAAATTTTATAGAACAACTTGAAGACTCCAAAAAATATTTTTCTAGACCATGGAGACTGTAGTTCCCAGCCAAAACATCTTAGCAGTGATCAATTTATGATATAATAGTGTTGAGGTTTCTTTGGCTCTAGCTGCTTTTCTTTGCAGAGATCTCTTTTGAAATGGTAAGCTATCTGACATACAAAAGCGAGTGGCACTTTTTGTTTTGGATTTTCTTGGACATGATGAGAATTGCCAAAGGTAACTTTACTGCTTTTCAGTGATAAGTACTAAAAATTCTAAGGAAATCCTTGGGGAGATGCAGAAGATAAACAGTTCATGAGAAATGAAACCTCATTCTAGATCAGAGTTAACTTGCTTACTGAAATTCTCTAATTGTCTATTGAAACTAAGAAAACTGTTTATTGAAATCAAGAGAGTTGACAGATTTAGAAAAACTTCTTACTAATACTATTCCCAAATCTGTAGTAAAAAAAATCAGAGTCAAAGAGTACATTTAAGCATCCTTACAGTTGCCAGCCTTAGCTCAGACTTAAGCAAATAATGTCAAACTTTAAAAAATTTTTGTTAAATGGAAATGATAAAGGGAGTCCCAGTTGTGTACAATGATGGGTAAAGCCTCAAGATCAGCTAGTAGGAGTTCAATTAGTAAGTTTAATAGATACCATGTAGGTTAGCCAAGCTGATGGGCAGTAGCAAGATAATGCAGGGAGAGAAAGCAGGCAAAACTATAACATGGTTTGCATTCATTTAACCACAAGAATTCAAGGAATCAAGAGAATTGTGGGAAACTGACCAGATAACAGAAAGGTTGATGCCACAAGTACCCTGCACATTTTCCATTCCTGGTTGCCTGGGAACAAAGACCCCCCCCCCACCTTATTTCAGTGATGTTATAAAGAGAAACTCATATGATAGTGAGAAGAACAGTAACTGGGGGTGGAGCAGTAGATCATTTGGTTAGCTCTATCTTGACAAACTCTTGAGCTGGAGTTTGCCTTTGATGTCATTAACGGAAAGATGTTAAAAGTTACTTTTAACTGGGTGTTGCTGATGTGTTGCTTCCCCTCTAGACTCTGAGCGGATTCCATCTCATATAATAAAATGAGGTAGTTATGCATCCAAGTTGAATTATACCGTGTGGTCGTGGATCTCTGCTTAGAAGGGAAAGTCCAGGAAGCTAAGATCCAGGACTAGGAACAGATGGATGCCCCATCTTTTGGTGCTCTGTTTAAGGCAAGGTGCAGGTGTCAATGTCTCTATTGCTGGAATGACCCTCTCTCACGACCCTTGGGCTGGGGAGAGGGGGTGGTGCATAGAAAGTCAATAGGGTATACACAACATTCTTGACTGGGCACTCATTTTTCATTTATAGCTCACAAGATTTTTTAAAAATCTAGATCAAGTCTTTTCAAGAACAAGTTACTAAACTCAACCTTTAGTAGGGATGTGACTGAGAAAACCCTGTTCTGATTCCACTTCCATTTCAAATTCAGGAAACATGCATACTCATTTGCCTCAATCTCATCCACATACCAATTAAACTTCTGGGGGCAGAATGGAGGTTTGGTTAAGGTAGGAATGCATAACGTGCTTTGAAGAGAGAGAAAGGCCAAGCCAGGGCTGCAGGCAGTCATGACTAGAATTCTTAAGCCCTGTGAGAAATCAAGCTGTGTATAATTCTGTACTAGCACCGGCTACTCTCGGTTGCATTAAGTGACCACTTGGAGTGAAAGCAAAGTGCAGCTCCCCATGCTGAGCTGTACACCTGAATGCTCTGGAAAGTTGTCCTTATTTTATTCCCCTTCAAAACCCTACAGCCTGCTGACCAGGTAAAATAATAGAACATATGGTCTTTATTTAGTTCCTTCGTGCTTACCGCCAAGACAAGAGAAGGTTGAAGAGTGAAGACCTCTTGGCTGTCTCCAATGCTTCCCTTTAATCTTACTTTATTTACTAAGAGCTAATAAAAAACCTGAAGTGCTTAACTCTCGAGTGTTGTTTTTCTTCTGGGCATTGGTATTTGATTTGTTCCTTGGCCTGAACCCCCCTTAATCTTTTTACTGCTGAATGTGCCATTGTGAACCTCCTTTTTAATGCTGTGTTCATTCTCCTTTCTTTGACATATTTTTCAGCATCTAAAAGTTGGTCTTTTCTAACTCTTATTCAAACTATTCTAAGTTATTTTAAAATAGAATTATATCAGATTTATTAAAGTAAAATAATTTAATTATAAAAGTAAAATTATAAATAATTTTGAAGAGGAGAAAATCATTTGTAATCTTACTGCCTAATTGAAGAAGCTCTTTATTTATTCTTTTTTAACATAAGCATTGCATTTTGCATACTGACAGAGAGTATGTAGAATTCTGCCCCAAATGTCTTTCACTTCATATTATCCTATCAACATGCTTCTCTGTTTGCAAACTCTGCTTTATTATTATTAGGTTGGATATTCAAGTGACCTTGCCTCAATTTACTTATTCCTCCTGTTATCAATAGGATGTTTCGATTGATAATGTCTGTTTTTAAGGCTGTGCTAACACTGACAGGAGCTTTGTAAAGC